CGCCGGGTTTACTAGTCTCATTATACAATAAAAATAAACGCTAACATCTCGTCTGTCCGTGATCACGGTTGCTGAAAAGTAGCCGAAACGTCGGGAGTATGTAGTTTTTATCAAAAATCAAGTAGCGTAGTATATGCGAAAAATATTAGTTTCTTTTACAATAAAATGAGTTCAATACACACATTAATACGTATAATATTTTTCAGGTCAACTGAAAGAGCATCAGATAGGAGACCACAACCCGTTCGAGGAGGTTCTACCTCTGTGTTCTACTGAGCACTTGATTAACCTGCCCAAGGTATGTACGTCATATAACTCTACTGCTACTTGTATATACTACTACTTATTTATCTACAATTAACAAACTGCAATTATATAATAATATATTATTTTCAGAACAAAGCCCGCCCTCCCATCAAGGACGTCGCGTGTCACGCCATCAGCGACACGTATGAAGGTGTCACGTTGGTCATACAAGAGGGTCTTCTGTGTCGCGAGTGTGACACGCCGCTTGACAGTGACAAACACTTCCTGTTAGTATAACCACTTGATAAAACTACGCTGCAAACATTGAATACAATCAGATTTATTGAATGTCAGTAAAGAGACGTAGTTTTTCCTTTATCGTGTTGAAAACACTCATTAAATTTTACAAAAAAATTGTTATTTTAGTAGCCCTTATTATGTTGTGATATCATCTTTTTAATATTTCTATATTTTCTAATGAAGAAAGATTAGATAAATAATATACCAAATGTTTAATACATACTAAAGTATAATTTTAATATTCTCAATATACAGCGGTCGCACGTCGCGCAGCAAGTGTCCATATGCTACATCATGTTACCGAGCGATGTTGAGACACAGTGGATATTGCGCCGGCTCACTTTCACTGGAGGCCGCTCCTAGACCCGCTCCCACGCTATACTGCGTCTGCGAATACTCTACAGACATAAGTCAGTTTACATTGGGTAGGTATAGGATCTCAATCAATATAATATATTTTCATTTTCTTTTATAAATTTTATAACTAACTATGTAACTGTTAGACCAGCAGCATATATAAATAAATATAAAATAAACAAATACCCAATGACTATAGTAACTAATAAAATATTAATATTTTAATCCCCAGACGGCATCGTTAAATTAAACAAGTATGTAGTACATATTAACAGATTTTATTTTCACGACGCAAAAATTGTATACAGTTCGTAAATATTTGCAATTCTGTATGAAAAACTTTGTTGTTCTAATATAATATTACTTCAGGCGCGGACATTCTATCTCATCTCCTCGTGACACAACACACAAGCGCGTACTTAACTGAGGAACTAGCACGAGCCAACACCGTCAGGGAAGAACCAAAACCTGCTGATGAAGTAGAGCCTGTGAGTATCTACTAGTGATTACTCATACTGTTTTGCGATTATATTATAATATATTTTGACATTTGCCGCTCAAGCGCGAGGCACGATAGCTCAATAAGCTTTTTTTTTTTTTTTTTTTTTTGGTGTCGGGTTGGAAAATCCTCATGGAGCCCCACCGCCCTCGGGGAAGGACGGAGGGGACTGTCAGACTCCTACTGACTAAAAACCAACCCGTGTGCCTCATCTACCCGTGTGCCGGAGAGGTGGGTATCGCCGAAGCATTCGTCGCTACCTCCCCGATAGGCATTGACCCGCCAGATGGTCAGGCGGGCCCCGTCATCCGGTCATACACCTTAACTATGAGGCGCGCGCGGATTACACGCCTCCCCCTCGAAGCCTGTAGCTGTTATCGGACGACAGATGCCCCGAATCTGTCGTCCACAGGCCGCGCTCTACGGTGGCCGGAAATCGGTCACCCTACGGCGCGCAGTGCGTCTAGTGCGGGAGGGGAGAAAGGAGGCAACCTCTCTTTCCCTTTCCGCTACCTCCTTTGCGCGCATCACTGCCTCGCAGAAGGTGGCGACGGCACACCACCCTGACTCGCTCCCCACCATAACTGATACAACTGCTTGGAGTGACAGGTTTCCTGCCACCCCTACCGCCGCAACCAAGTCACGGCGCTGCTCGGCCCAAGCTGAGCATTCCGCCAATGTATGCAGCGCCGTGTCATTGGGGCAGTCACCGCAATGTCGGCACTGGGACGTCTGTTCCCGACCTATGCGGCACAGGTACTTCCCGAAACATCCATGTCCGGTAAGTACCTGCGTTAGCCGGAAGCTGAGGGCGCCGTGACTCCTGTTCAGCCACTCCTGTAGAACAGGTCTTACCCGCCGCTATAACGGCGTGCCCCGCCGTGGGTTGCGCTAAGCGCGTGTGCCACTCCGCCATTAGGACCTGGCGGAGTTCCGCCCTCCGTGCTCGTAATAGTCGAGGCATCAGGCGTTCGCCTCTCTCGACCGCCTCCGCGCGCCACCGATAGAGCGTTGCGAGGAGTTTTGCCTCTAGGTCCCAGGGGGGGGATCCGGCTAGGAGACTCGCTGCCTCAAAGGAGATCGTACGGTAACCTCTGATGACTCTAACCGCCATCGCGCGCTGCGGCCTTCGCAGTGCAGCGACGTTTCGGGTTGTCAGGGCATCTCCCCACACTGGCGCGGCGTATAGTGCCATCGACCGTAAGACCCCCATGTAAAGTCTCCGGCACGAGGAGTTGGGCCCCCCCACGTTGGGCAGCAAGCGCGAGAGTGCAGAGGCGGTGACCAACAACCTAGGGACGAGCCGTGTAAAGTGCGGCCCGAAGTTCCACCGACTGTCGAGGATGATTCCAAGGTACTTCATCGTCGACTCGACAGCGATGGACACCCCTCCTACAGTGATGCTGGACCCCGAAGGCGGTTTCATTCTCGGCCCATGAAAATATAGGGCTTCAGACTTGTGCAATGCCACCTCTAAGCCCAGCCGCCGTATTCTGCCCACGACGTGCGCGACACCAGCAGTTGCACGTATGTCTGCTTGACGGTACGACTTTCCACGCGCTGTAACTAGCGTGTCATCAGCGTAGCAAATGACGTTGACACCGTGGAGAAGCACACCGCGTAGAGCCCAGTCGTATCCTACGTTCCACAGTAGCGGCCCCAACACCGAACCCTGCGGAACGCCGCACGTCGTTTCTCGTCGACCCCATCCTTCCCGAACCGGGTACACCACAGACCTTTCGGACAAGTAAGCCCCGACAATACGCTGTAGGTAGCGTGGCACCGCATGGTACCGCAGTGCCTCTCGGATGGTATTCCAGGGCAGAGTGTTAAAAGCGTTGGCGATGTCGAGCGACACCGCCAAGACCACCTGTCCCCGAGCGACTGCCTCCTCTGTGAGGGCCTTTACGCGCATGATCGCATCCACAGTGGAGCGTCCCTGGCGAAAACCAAATTGGTTGTCTGCTAAATCCGGTCCTACCCTGGTCATGTGCTGGACAAGGCGACTGACAGTGATTCGCTCAAAGATCTTACATACTTCATCCAGCAACACGATTGGCCTATACGCAGACGGTGTGTCTGCGGGGCGCCCCTCTTTCTTAAGTAAGACCAGTTTTCCAGTCTTCCACCGGCTTGGAAATTGGCCCTGTTCCAGACAGGCGGTGAAGAGCCTCGCTAGTCGAGGCCCAAGAGCCTTAATGGCTAGAGTCCAGGCACGGCCTGAAATGCCGTCGGGTCCTGGAGCGGTGTTCCTGATGCGGGACACCGCCACTCTCAACTCTAGCTGGGTCACTTCGGGCACGTCACGCTCAATATCAAATTCCGCCTCGGAAAGATTACGAGGTGGGACCATGACCGGTGGTGTATGCATCGATCTCGACGGAAACAACGCAGAAACCACTTCTTCCAGAAGCTGTGGTTGTAGACTCCGGGATAAAGGGGGAGCCCATCGACGCAGTTTACCTCGTACCATGAGGTAGGGGCGCCCCCACGGCTCCCGATCCAGTGTCTCTAGCAGCGCTTTGTTGGCCTGGGTCTTTGCCTGAACAATTGCTAGCTGGAGGGCTTTTTTTCGCCTCTCTATAGCGGTTGTATAGTTCCGCCTCTACCTGTTCTGCCGTCGCTGTAACGGGGCGGTGGCGTCTTCTTCTTCGGAACCTCACGTATCTTCGTCGCACTTGTGTACAAGCAATGCGCAACTGCGCAATCGACTGTGACCACCAGTATACTTGACGTCTGGATGGTAAAGGCCGAGCCCGGGGCATGCCAGCATCACAGATGTGCGTCATGCTTTCTCGGAACCACTCCGCCTCCTCGTTGATGTTGGTTGGCCTGTCTGGAAAGTCCAGCCAGGCTTTTACGATAGACGCCTCGAGAAAAGCCTCCCTGTCCAGCCGTTTCCATGCCCAACGCGGACCATCACCAATGCTCGCCAGGGCCACTTGAACCGGCCTAGCCGAGGTCTGTGTGGAGACGTTAAATCGAATGTATCTATGATCGGATAGCGTCTCTACATCCTCTAGGACATGCCAGTCCTGGATAGAGCGGGCGAGATCAGGGCTAGCGAATGACAGATCTACTATAGATCCACCCCGCTGTCGCACGCAGGTCTGCACGGAACCCTGGTTCAGGAGAATCAGGCCCTGCTCGACCGACCACTCTTCCACTAACTCACCCCGCGCATTTGTTACTGGAGAACCCCAAGCCGTAGATTTGGCATTGAAGTCCCCCAGGACAATCACGGGACGAGGACGGCTACGACTGATTTCCGCGCTTAACTCCAGGATTATATCCTCCATATCAGCAAGAGAATAACTGGGGGCAAAATACACACCCACAACCATAATTTTTTGCCATATTGCTGCGACGTAACCTCGCCCTCGGGTGACGGCCTCGAAAGGAAGGGTGTCGGCGTCCGTCCTCATAATCAGCGCCACCGAGCTGTTTGTATCACACACCCAGTCATCCCTGGGTGGCACAAAATATGGTTCGGCGACAACTGCCATATCGATCGACCACTGCGCCATGCTTTGGAGCAAGAGATCCTGAGCTCTGGCGCAGTGGTTTATGTTAGCTTGAAGGAAACGACGTAGGGCCATTATTGTGTGTCCATGGTCGTTGTGTCCTCCCTGGTCCTCTCCGGGTGTATTGTCACAACCGGCTGGTGAACCGGCTGCGAGGAGCTGGTTGCCTTCTTTGTCTTATCTGTGGTTTTAGTCGGCGGATGAGCCGACTGTATCCTAACATTGCTCTTCTTGGGCCTAGCACAGTCCTTTGATCCGATCCGATGTTCAGCGGACTTGCCAGATGCCGCACAGAGGACGCAGTGCGGCGTGGCAGTGCAAGTGCCAGCTTTGTGACCAAGCTGACCACAGCGGAAGCACATTTGACTGCGGTCTACCCCAGCGGTACACCGTGCCCCCGCATGTCCTTCTTCTAAGCAGCGGTAGCACCGATAGGGCTTTGGAGCTAGGAGCATGACTTGTGCCGAGACCCATCCAATCAGAAGCCGTTTGTCTTTTATCTTTTTGGCCGCCGTTACGGGGCAGCTGACAAAAATAGTCCCGAGACCAGAGACACCCCGGCTTATCGTGCCTGCCTTGATTTGATCCGGCGGACACTCGCCCACCTTGGAGATGGCAGCAATGACCTCTTCTTTTGTGACGGAATCATCCAGGCCCGAAATGCGCAAATCTGCGCACTTAGTTGGCCTGGACACTTTTACATCATCCGGGCCTAGAGATGCCCTGAGTCTGTCGGCGAGGGCATCTGCTTTGGGACCGCTAGAAGATCCTGATATCTCCAGTAGGCGACCGCCGGTAGCAGTCGTTTTGCATCGAAGACCTGTTATACCGAGATCACTAAGCGAGATCTCCGCTTTCGCCTTTGCCAGGATCCCGGCATATGTGAGACCCCGCTCCTCCGCCCCTGGTTTTAGGGTGAGGACTACTGCTGTAGAACGGGGGGTGCTGAGCTTCACCGTCTGGGACTTGGCGGCCTCTTGTTTCTTCTGGGCTTGCTTTTTGGCCCGCTGGCGAGCCGCTTTACTTTTTTGGGCGGCGCCCACAACTGTCCACTCCGCCTCAGCTCTAGTGGCGGGTTCACACGCTCCTGATTCAGCAGTTTGTGCCCGCGAAATAGGAGTGTCATCTGCCTTTTTGGCCAGTTTAGCCGCTTTTTTTAACTGCTTTTTGGATTTAGGCCCCGCAGTTTCCTTTTGCGAAGTAGCAGTTGGAACCGTTGATTTTTGGGCTGCTACGGTTTCCTCGACATTTATCGTCGCTGGTCTACTGTGTTGGTCTGCAGCTATGGGGGGACGTAGAATTCTCCCCTCAAGCACTGAGAAGCGCGCGTTAAAACTTGCCATCTCCTGACGGATCAGGCGAAGTAACTCCGTCTCCTGAGATGACTGCTGCTTCAACGGCTGTGACTGCGACTGCGGTAGCGGTACTGCGGACGGAAGGCCCACTTCCTTCCTAAGCTGCTCGCGGCGAAAGTTTTTCATCTCTTCCTTGAGCTCATCGTGCTCCTTCCGGAGCTCCGCCATTTGCGTTACGAGCTTTGCATTCTGGGCCCGCAGCAGCGCAATCTCTTCTGTTGTGGTGCGAGTTAATAGCACCTGAGCACTTTCCAGAATTGAGGCCGTGGCCTCTTTTAGTGCTTTCTGGCTGCAACCGCTAAGGCCCTTGGAGACCCTGCTCACTCTTTTTATAGCTGCAACCGCGTCGGACAATCTTTGATTAAGATCGGAGGCCGGTAAATCTTCTGCCTCTACATCTATATTTGAGACGGCGGACGACGACTGCGATAGACGAGTGACTCTCCCTTCAACCACTCTTTTCGTCAGAGCCGCAATCTGTCGCTCATCCTCCTCTAATTTCTCGGCGGCTGCTGCGGCCTTCATTGCAGCCGCAGCCTCACGCCTGGATAGGCCGATACCGACGTATTTGCCGGTAGTGGCAGGCCTACCTCTTCCTCCTTTTTTGGCACCGACTTTGGGGGGCGGCATGACTGAGTCACTTAAAACCGATTCCGACCCTGAGTCTGCACAATCCCTAGTGCGTTTTCGTACGCGTTTAGAATTAACGCTCGCCACGCTCATATGACTTGACGCGCTGTCGGAATCCAACAGCTCGCCCGTTCGCTCCATTCGTACCAATGGTATGTTATCATCCACTACGTCAGGTTTTGTATTTGTTTTATTTAAAGAACTATCCATTTTAGTCCCACGAGTATAAAGCAAAATAGGTCGACCCCGGGCAGAGGCTTAAATACCCGGGTAAGCCTACTTACTGCTGGGGGCGGCAGGTACCAGCAGGTGGGAGCGTTAACGACCGTTTGCCCAACGGCCATTCATCCCCTCGTCACGCTCCCGAAACTTGGGATTGGGTGGTTTTTTATCTAAGAGGTGTCCTTCCTCTGGGGCCGGGCAGTTAAGCCAAGCCCCCCGACAGTGGCATTAAGGCATGCCTCCGTCCGCTGTCCGGCCAACCCGACTCAGCGGACCTGTCGAAAGGTTTGCTCTTTATTTACTAAGAAGCAAACAAAGCCAGCTCAGATGCGCCTGCACCTAAGCCGGTGTGGTCACGTCCTCGCCTATCGACTATATCGATAGAGCAGGAGTGAGTCCCCCCCCCCTGTGACTGACTGCACCGGTTACCCGGTGGGCGATGGGGTCGTCACGTCCCGACGCCGGATAGCTCAATAAGCTTAAATAGTGCCTAGTTTTAACAGAATAAACCAAATTTTCATGTCACATAAAATCAAAATAAAATTTTCATGTCTTAATAACAATTTTATAGAACATACTTGGTCTTTATTCAAAACTCTTAAAGTAATTTAAAAAGGGCTTAAATAAACATGCGTTTCGTAAGGAGTAATTCATTTATTCCAGTTTCATTATTAATTTTAAGAGGTCACATCAAATAGTATACTACGTAGAAGAAATTAAAATCATCTTATATCTGTCTTCAGAGGATTCAGAAGGCTGTGAACTGACGGCCAACGTGCTCCTCTACATGGACCATCTCAAACAACACCAGGACAAGGAGCTGGAGATTAAATGTACGAGATGTGTGCTGAGATTCGTACGTCTCGGTGAATAATACAACTGTAAGTACTATATAAACAGATGAAACTAATATTTTCGGATTGTTTCGCGTATTTTATTATTTAAAAAACTATTATATATACACCCGACGTTTCGGTTACTTGTCAGCAACCATGATTAAGGCAGACGAGTTGTCGGGAGTGTGGTGTTTTTAAAAATAATAAAATACGCAAAGCATTCCGAAAATATTACTTTCATTTAAATTAATACTCGCAAGTCTTAAATCTACTATATAAAAATAAGTCCGGTTTTCCTTCCTGACGCTATAACTCCAGAACAAACGAACCGATTTCCACGGTTTTGCATTCGTTTGCATATTTTAAGTAGATGGTGCCGGTGCATGATATATTGTTTGAAGGCTACTCATTGTTCTCTGCTCTGGTAATTTCATGTGACAAACCGGTATTGTGTTTGTAGTTTAAACTCTTAAAACCATTAAGTATTTGCGGGATAAATTTAGAAAATCATTGTTTTTCACATGGGCAGTTATACTTTGCGTGTTCAGGAGTTCGGAAACCATCCGCTTTATTTGTGTTAACGTTAGACCAAAAAACAAAAAATGTAGTTTACAAAGGAGCACTTCAATGAAACGGATAATTTGCGGACACGTATAACGCTTCGATTCGGTATCTACTTTGATTTACTTTCATAAGTATCTATTTTGATCTACTTTGATTCACTTTCATTTACTTAGAGAAGTTCAACTAAATAACACTACATTTCTGTAATCGAAATGAATTCATTACTGTTGTGAAAAGAAATTAAAATTTTCCTTTTCAAATATTAAACAATAAAAAAATTCTTTATCTTTTAATCACCAAACGAAATGTTACATAAAACAAAGCCTGGTGGCGAAACGGAGTTCGCCGGGTTTACTAGTCTCATTATACAATAAAAATAAACGCTAACATCTCGTCTGTCCGTGATCACGGTTGCTGAAAAGTAGCCGAAACGTCGGGAGTATGTAGTTTTTATCAAAAATCAAGTAGCGTAGTATATGCGAAAAATATTAGTTTCTTTTACAATAAAATGAGTTCAATACACACATTAATACGTATAATATTTTTCAGGTCAACTGAAAGAGCATCAGATAGGAGACCACAACCCGTTCGAGGAGGTTCTACCTCTGTGTTCTACTGAGCACTTGATTAACCTGCCCAAGGTATGTACGTCATATAACTCTACTGCTACTTGTATATACTACTACTTATTTATCTACAATTAACAAACTGCAATTATATAATAATATATTATTTTCAGAACAAAGCCCGCCCTCCCATCAAGGACGTCGCGTGTCACGCCATCAGCGACACGTATGAAGGTGTCACGTTGGTCATACAAGAGGGTCTTCTGTGTCGCGAGTGTGACACGCCGCTTGACAGTGAGAAACACTTCCTGTTAGTATAACCACTTGATAAAACTACGCTGCAAACATTGAATACAATCAGATTTATTGAATGTCAGTAAAGAGACGTAGTTTTTCCTTTATCGTGTTGAAAACACTCATTAAATTTTACAAAAAAATTGTTATTTTAGTAGCCCTTATTATGTTGTGATATCATCTTTTTAATATTTCTATATTTTCTAATGAAGAAAGATTAGATAAATAATATACCAAATGTTTAATACATACTAAAGTATAATTTTAATATTCTCAATATACAGCGGTCGCACGTCGCGCAGCAAGTGTCCATATGCTACATCATGTTACCGAGCGATGTTGAGACACAGTGGATATTGCGCCGGCTCACTTTCACTGGAGGCCGCTCCTAGACCCGCTCCCACGCTATACTGCGTCTGCGAATACTCTACAGACATAAGTCAGTTTACATTGGGTAGGTATAGGATCTCAATCAATATAATATATTTTCATTTTCTTTTATAAATTTTATAACTAACTATGTAACTGTTAGACCAGCAGCATATATAAATAAATATAAAATAAACAAATACCCAATGACTATAGTAACTAATAAAATATTAATATTTTAATCCCCAGACGGCATCGTTAAATTAAACAAGTATGTAGTACATATTAACAGATTTTATTTTCACGACGCAAAAATTGTATACAGTTCGTAAATATTTGCAATTCTGTATGAAAAACTTTGTTGTTCTAATATAATATTACTTCAGGCGCGGACATTCTATCTCATCTCCTCGTGACACAACACACAAGCGCGTACTTAACTGAGGAACTAGCACGAGCCAACACCGTCAGGGAAGAACCAAAACCTGCTGATGAAGTAGAGCCTGTGAGTATCTACTAGTGATTACTCATACTGTTTTGCGATTATATTATAATATATTTTGACATTTGCCGCTCAAGCGCGAGGCACGATAGCTCAATAAGCTTTTTTTTTTTTTTTTTTTTTTTGGTGTCGGGTTGGAAAATCCTCATGGAGCCCCACCGCCCTCGGGGAAGGACGGAGGGGACTGTCAGACTCCTACTGACTAAAAACCAACCCGTGTGCCTCATCTACCCGTGTGCCGGAGAGGTGGGTATCGCCGAAGCATTCGTCGCTACCTCCCCGACAGGCATTGACCCGCCAGATGGTCAGGCGGGCCCCGTCATCCGGTCATACACCTTAACTATGAGGCGCGCGCGGATTACACGCCTCCCCCTCGAAGCCTGTAGCTGTTATCGGACGACAGATGCCCCGAATCTGTCGTCCACAGGCCGCGCTCTACGGTGGCCGGAAATCGGTCACCCTACGGCGCGCAGTGCGTCTAGTGCGAGAGGGGAGAAAGGAGGCAACCTCTCTTTCCCTTTCCGCTACCTCCTTTGCGCGCATCACTGCCTCGCAGAAGGTGGCGACGGCACACCACCCTGACTCGCTCCCCACCATAACTGATACAACTGCTTGGAGTGACAGGTTTCCTGCCACCCCTACCGCCGCAACCAAGTCACGGCGCTGCTCGGCCCAAGCTGAGCATTCCGCCAATGTATGCAGCGCCGTGTCATTGGGGCAGTCACCGCAATGTCGGCACTGGGACGTCTGTTCCCGACCTATGCGGCACAGGTACTTCCCGAAACATCCATGTCCGGTAAGTACCTGCGTTAGCCGGAAGCTGAGGGCGCCGTGACTCCTGTTCAGCCACTCCTGTAGAACAGGTCTTACCGCCGCTATAACGGCGTGCCCCGCCGTGGGTTGCGCTAAGCGCGTGTGCCACTCCGCCATTAGGACCTGGCGGAGTTCCGCCCTCCGTGCTCGTAATAGTCGAGGCATCAGGCGTTCGCCTCTCTCGACCGCCTCCGCGCGCCACCGATAGAGCGTTGCGAGGAGTTTTGCCTCTAGGTCCCAGGGGGGGGATCCGGCTAGGAGACTCGCTGCCTCAAAGGAGATCGTACGGTAACCTCTGATGACCCTAACCGCCATCGCGCGCTGCGGCCTTCGCAGTGCAGCGACGTTTCGGGTTGTCAGGGCATCTCCCCACACTGGCGCGGCGTATAGTGCCATCGACCGTAAGACCCCCATGTAAAGTCTCCGGCACGAGGAGTTGGGCCCCCCCACGTTGGGCAGCAAGCGCGAGAGTGCAGAGGCGGTGACCAACAACCTAGGGACGAGCCGTGTAAAGTGCGGCCCGAAGTTCCACCGACTGTCGAGGATGATTCCAAGGTACTTCATCGTCGACTCGACAGCGATGGACACCCCTCCTACAGTGATGCTGGACCCCGAAGGCGGTTTCATTCTCGGCCCATGAAAATATAGGGCTTCAGACTTGTGCAATGCCACCTCTAAGCCCAGCCGCCGTATTCTGCCCACGACGTGCGCGACACCAGCAGTTGCACGTATGTCTGCTTGACGGTACGACTTTCCACGCGCTGTAACTAGCGTGTCATCAGCGTAGCAAATGACGTTGACACCGTGGAGAAGCACACCGCGTAGAGCCCAGTCGTATCCTACGTTCCACAGTAGCGGCCCCAACACCGAACCCTGCGGAACGCCGCACGTCGTTTCTCGTCGACCCCATCCTTCCCGAACCGGGTACACCACAGACCTTTCGGACAAGTAAGCCCCGACAATACGCTGTAGGTAGCGTGGCACCGCATGGTACCGCAGTGCCTCTCGGATGGTATTCCAGGGCAGAGTGTTAAAAGCGTTGGCGATGTCGAGCGACACCGCCAAGACCACCTGTCCCCGAGCGACTGCCTCCTCTGTGAGGGCCTTTACGCGCATGATCGCATCCACAGTGGAGCGTCCCTGGCGAAAACCAAATTGGTTGTCTGCTAAATCCGGTCCTACCCTGGTCATGTGCTGGACAAGGCGACTGACAGTGATTCGCTCAAAGATCTTACATACTTCATCCAGCAACACGATTGGCCTATACGCAGACGGTGTGTCTGCGGGGCGCCCCTCTTTCTTAAGTAAGACCAGTTTTCCAGTCTTCCACCGGCTTGGAAATTGGCCCTGTTCCAGACAGGCGGTGAAGAGCCTCGCTAGTCGAGGCCCAAGAGCCTTAATGGCTAGAGTCCAGGCACGGCCTGAAATGCCGTCGGGTCCTGGAGCGGTGTTCCTGATGCGGGACACCGCCACTCTCAACTCTAGCTGGGTCACTTCGGGCACGTCACGCTCAATATCAAATTCCGCCTCGGAAAGATTACGAGGTGGGACCATGACCGGTGGTGTATGCATCGATCTCGACGGAAACAACGCAGAAACCACTTCTTCCAGAAGCTGTGGTTGTAGACTCCGGGATAAAGGGGGAGCCCATCGACGCAGTTTACCTCGTACCATGAGGTAGGGGCGCCCCCACGGCTCCCGATCCAGTGTCTCTAGCAGCGCTTTGTTGGCCTGGGTCTTTGCCTGAACAATTGCTAGCTGGAGGGCTTTTTTCGCCTCTCTATAGCGGTTGTATAGTTCCGCCTCTACCTGTTCTGCCGTCGCTGTAACGGGGCGGTGGCGTCTTCTTCTTCGGAACCTCACGTATCTTCGTCGCACTTGTGTACAAGCAATGCGCAACTGCGCAATCGACTGTGACCACCAGTATACTTGACGTCTGGATGGTAAAGGCCGAGCCCGGGGCATGCCAGCATCACAGATGTGCGTCATGCTTTCTCGGAACCACTCCGCCTCCTCGTTGATGTTGGTTGGCCTGTCTGGAAAGTCCAGCCAGGCTTTTACGATAGACGCCTCGAGAAAAGCCTCCCTGTCCAGCCGTTTCCATGCCCAACGCGGACCATCACCAATGCTCGCCAGGGCCACTTGAACCGGCCTAGCCGAGGTCTGTGTGGAGACGTTAAATCGAATGTATCTATGATCGGATAGCGTCTCTACATCCTCTAGGACATGCCAGTCCTGGATAGAGCGGGCGAGATCAGGGCTAGCGAATGACAGATCTACTATAGATCCACCCCGCTGTCGCACGCAGGTCTGCACGGAACCCTGGTTCAGGAGAATCAGGCCCTGCTCGACCGACCACTCTTCCACTAACTCACCCCGCGCATTTGTTACTGGAGAACCCCAAGCCGTAGATTTGGCATTGAAGTCCCCCAGGACAATCACGGGACGAGGACGGCTACGACTGATTTCCGCGCTTAACTCCAGGATTATATCCTCCATATCAGCAAGAGAATAACTGGGGGCAAAATACACACCCACAACCATAATTTTTTGCCATATTGCTGCGACGTAACCTCGCCCTCGGGTGACGGCCTCGAAAGGAAGGGTGTCGGCGTCCGTCCTCATAATCAGCGCCACCGAGCTGTTTGTATCACACACCCAGTCATCCCTGGGTGGCACAAAATATGGTTCGGCGACAACTGCCATATCGATCGACCACTGCGCCATGCTTTGGAGCAAGAGATCCTGAGCTCTGGCGCAGTGGTTTATGTTAGCTTGAAGGAAACGACGTAGGGCCATTATTGTGTGTCCATGGTCGTTGTGTCCTCCCTGGTCCTCTCCGGGTGTATTGTCACAACCGGCTGGTGAACCGGCTGCGAGGAGCTGGTTGCCTTCTTTGTCTTATCTGTGGTTTTAGTCGGCGGATGAGCCGACTGTATCCTAACATTGCTCTTCTTGGGCCTAGCACAGTCCTTTGATCCGATCCGATGTTCAGCGGACTTGCCAGATGCCGCACAGAGGACGCAGTGCGGCGTGGCAGTGCAAGTGCCAGCTTTGTGACCAAGCTGACCACAGCGGAAGCACATTTGACTGCGGTCTACCCCAGCGGTACACCGTGCCCCCGCATGTCCTTCTTCTAAGCAGCGGTAGCACCGATAGGGCTTTGGAGCTAGGAGCATGACTTGTGCCGAGACCCATCCAATCAGAAGCCGTTTGTCTTTTATCTTTTTGGCCGCCGTTACGGGGCAGCTGACAAAAATAGTCCCGAGACCAGAGACACCCCGGCTTATCGTGCCTGCCTTGATTTGATCCGGCGGACACTCGCCCACCTTGGAGATGGCAGCAATGACCTCTTCTTTTGTGACGGAATCATCCAGGCCCGAAATGCGCAAATCTGCGCACTTAGTTGGCCTGGACACTTTTACATCATCCGGGCCTAGAGATGCCCTGAGTCTGTCGGCGAGGGCATCTGCTTTGGGACCGCTAGAAGATCCTGATATCTCCAGTAGGCGACCGCCGGTAGCAGTCGTTTTGCATCGAAGACCTGTTATACCGAGATCACTAAGCGAGATCTCCGCTTTCGCCTTTGCCAGGATCCCGGCATATGTGAGACCCCGCTCCTCCGCCCCTGGTTTTAGGGTGAGGACTACTGCTGTAGAACGGGGGGTGCTGAGCTTCACCGTCTGGGACTTGGCGGCCTCTTGTTTCTTCTGGGCTTGCTTTTTGGCCCGCTGGCGAGCCGCTTTACTTTTTTGGGCGGCGCCCACAACTGTCCACTCCGCCTCAGCTCTAGTGGCGGGTTCACACGCTCCTGATTCAGCAGTTTGTGCCCGCGAAATAGGAGTGTCATCTGCCTTTTTGGCCAGTTTAGCCGCTTTTTTTAACTGCTTTTTGGATTTAGGCCCCGCAGTTTCCTTTTGCGAAGTAGCAGTTGGAACCGTTGATTTTTGGGCTGCTACGGTTTCCTCGACATTTATCGTCGCTGGTCTACTGTGTTGGTCTGCAGCTATGGGGGGACGTAGAATTCTCCCCTCAAGCACTGAGAAGCGCGCGTTAAAACTTGCCATCTCCTGACGGATCAGGCGAAGTAACTCCGTCTCCTGAGATGACTGCTGCTTCAACGGCTGTGACTGCGACTGCGGTAGCGGTACTGCGGACGGAAGGCCCACTTCCTTCCTAAGCTGCTCGCGGCGAAAGTTTTTTCATCTCTTCCTTGAGCTCATCGTGCTCCTTCCGGAGCTCCGCCATTTGCGTTACGAGCTTTGCATTCTGGGCCCGCAGCAGCGCAATCTCTTCTGTTGTGGTGCGAGTTAATAGCACCTGAGCACTTTCCAGAATTGAGGCCGTGGCCTCTTTTAGTGCTTTCTGGCTGCAACCGCTAAGGCCCTTGGAGACCCTGCTCACTCTTTTTATAGCTGCAACCGCGTCGGACAATCTTTGATTAAGATCGGAGGCCGGTAAATCTTCTGCCTCTACATCTATATTTGAGACGGCGGACGACGACTGCGATAGACGAGTGACTCTCCCTTCAACCACTCTTTTCGTCAGAGCCGCAATCTGTCGCTCATCCTCCTCTAATTTCTCGGCGGCTGCTGCGGCCTTCATTGCAGCCGCAGCCTCACGCCTGGATAGGCCGATACCGACGTATTTGCCGGTAGTGGCAGGCCTACCTCTTCCTCCTTTTTTGGCACCGACTTTGGGGGGCGGCATGACTGAGTCACTTAAAACCGATTCCGACCCTGAGTCTGCACAATCCCTAGTGCGTTTTCGTACGCGTTTAGAATTAACGCTCGCCACGCTCATATGACTTGACGCGCTGTCGGAATCCAACAGCTCGCCCGTTCGCTCCATTCGTACCAATGGTATGTTATCATCCACTACGTCAGGTTTTGTATTTGTTTTATTTAAAGAACTATCCATTTTAGTCCCACGAGTATAAAGCAAAATAGGTCGACCCCGGGCAGAGGCTTAAATACCCGGGTAAGCCTACTTACTGCTGGGGGCGGCAGGTACCAGCAGGTGGGAGCGTTAACGACCGTTTGCCCAACGGCCATTCATCCCCTCGTCACGCTCCCGAAACTTGGGATTGGGTGGTTTTTTATCTAAGAGGTGTCCTTCCTCTGGGGCCGGGCAGTTAAGCCAAGCCCCCCGACAGTGGCATTAAGGCATGCCTCCGTCCGCTGTCCGGCCAACCCGACTCAGCGGACCTGTCGAAAGGTTTGCTCTTTATTTACTAAGAAGCAAACAAAGCCAGCTCAGATGCGCCTGCACCTAAGCCGGTGTGGTCACGTCCTCGCCTATCGACTATATCGATAGAGCAGGAGTGAGTCCCCCCCCCCCTGTGACTGACTGCACCGGTTACCCGGTGGGCGATGGGGTCGTCACGTCCCGACGCCGGATAGCTCAATAAGCTTAAATAGTGCCTAGTTTTAACAGAATAAACCAAATTTTCATGTCACATAAAATCAAAATAAAATTTTCATGTCTTAATAACAATTTTATAGAACATACTTGGTCTTTATTCAAAACTCTTAAAGTAATTTAAAAAGGGCTTAAATAAACATGCGTTTCGTAAGGAGTAATTCATTTATTCCAGTTTCATTATTAATTTTAAGAGGTCACATCAAATAGTATACTACGTAGAAGAAATTAAAATCATCTTATATCTGTCTTCAGAGGATTCAGAAGGCTGTGAACTGACGGCCAACGTGCTCCTCTACATGGACCATCTCAAACAACACCAGGACAAGGAGCTGGAGATTAAATGTACGAGATGTGTGCTGAGATTCGTACGTCTCGGTGAATAATACAACTGTAAGTACTATATAAACAGATGAAACTAATATTTTCGGATTGTTTCGCGTATTTTATTATTTAAAAAAACTATTATATATACACCCGACGTTTCGGTTACTTGTCAGCAACCATGATTAAGGCAGACGAGTTGTCGGGAGTGTGGTGTTTTTAAAAATAATAAAATACGCAAAGCATTCCGAAAATATTACTTTCATTTAAATTAATACTCGCAAGTCTTAAATCTACTATATAAAAATAAGTCCGGTTTTCCTTCCTGACGCTATAACTCCAGAACAAACGAACCGATTTCCACGGTTTTGCATTCGTTTGCATATTTTAAGTAGATGGTGCCGGTGCATGATATATTGTTTGAAGGCTACTCATTGTTCTCTGCTCTGGTAATTTCATGTGACAAACCGGTATTGTGTTTGTAGTTTAAACTCTTAAAACCATTAAGTATTTGCGGGATAAATTTAGAAAATCATTGTTTTTCACATGGGCAGTTATACTTTGCGTGTTCAGGAGTTCGGAAACCATCCGCTTTATTTGTGTTAACGTTAGACCAAAAAACAAAAAATGTAGTTTACAAAGGAGCACTTCAATGAAACGGATAATTTGCGGACACGTATAACGCTTCGATTCGGTATCTACTTTGATTTACTTTCATAAGTATCTATTTTGATCTACTTTGATTCACTTTCATTTACTTAGAGAAGTTCAACTAAATAACACTACATTTCTGTAATCGAAATGAATTCATTACTGTTGTGAAAAGAAATTAAAATTTTCCTTTTCAAATATTAAACAATAAAAAAATTCTTTATCTTTTAATCACCAAACGAAATGTTACATAAAACAAAGCCTGGTGGCGAAACGGAGTTCGCCGGGTTTACTAGTCTCATTATACAATAAAAATAAACGCTAACATCTCGTCTGTCCGTGATCACGGTTGCTGAAAAGTAGCCGAAACGTCGGGAGTATGTAGTTTTTATCAAAAATCAAGTAGCGTAGTATATGCGAAAAATATTAGTTTCTTTTACAATAAAATGAGTTCAATACACACATTAATACGTATAATATTTTTCAGGTCAACTGAAAGAGCATCAGATAGGAGACCACAACCCGTTCGAGGAGGTTCTACCTCTGTGTTCTACTGAGCACTTGATTAACCTGCCCAAGGTATGTACGTCATATAACTCTACTGCTACTTGTATATACTACTACTTATTTATCTACAATTAACAAACTGCAATTATATAATAATATATTATTTTCAGAACAAAGCCCGCCCTCCCATCAAGGACGTCGCGTGTCACGCCATCAGCGACACGTATGAAGGTGTCACGTTGGTCATACAAGAGGGTCTTCTGTGTCGCGAGTGTGACACGCCGCTTGACAGTGAGAAACACTTCCTGTTAGTATAACCACTTGATAAAACTACGCTGCAAACATTGAATACAATCAGATTTATTGAATGTCAGTAAAGAGACGTAGTTTTTCCTTTATCGTGTTGAAAACACTCATTAAATTTTACAAAAAAATTGTTATTTTAGTAGCCCTTATTATGTTGTGATATCATCTTTTTAATATTTCTATATTTTCTAATGAAGAAAGATTAGATAAATAATATACCAAATGTTTAATACATACTAAAGTATAATAATTTTAATATTCTCAATATACAGCGGTCGCACGTCGCGCAGCAAGTGTCCATATGCTACATCATGTTACCGAGCGATGTTGAGACACAGTGGATATTGCGCCGGCTCACTTTCACTGGAGGCCGCTCCTAGACCCGCTCCCACGCTATACTGCGTCTGCGAATACTCTACAGACATAAGTCAGTTTACATTGGGTAGGTATAGGATCTCAATCAATATAATATATTTTCATTTTCTTTTATAAATTTTATAACTAACTATGTAACTGTTAGACCAGCAGCATATATAAATAAATATAAAATAAACAAATACCCAATGACTATAATAACTAATAAAATAATACAATACACATAAATACTAATATTAATACAATACACATAAAAACAAATATTATTGCTTATAACTATAAATATAGTTACGAGTTTAATCCTTAGTAATACTTAGAGCTATGTAAATAAAGCAGAATATAATAATAGTGTATAATAAGACCATACAATAAAAATGTATCACAGCAAGTTTGTAAATTACAGCTAATGAAACTTGAGTTTGTCTTAAGGAGTTGATGTAGTTTGTTGAGTTCATTTCGTCTTAATGAGTTTGTTCTCAGAAAGCACTTTTGTCAAATAAATCGTAGTAGAATTAAATTTGTGGTTATAAAAGACCATTCCCTTCCCTTTTTACAAATATTTCATTTATTTATTATAACAAATGATGTTTTATAAGCTTAAGGTTAAATAAAGGAGATCTTTTGCTTGCTTTACAAAGTCATCTACAATGTAGGCAACCGTAGTCCTACATACACGCACACATACAAAGACATACGTACACACAAGCAAGTACACACATTCTTACATTATAAACAAGAGGATTACAATGACGTACTATGCTTGTATTATTAAGTCACCATCAAATTTTTGTTTGATTTTTTTGTGAAGAATTTATAAATATAATTTGACTTATTTGCAAATAATTAATATAACGAACAGCTCATTCATAGATTACCCGATACTAGTATTATGTCTTCTTTATAACAAACGACTTAAGCTGGACATTAATTGGAAATTAAATAACATATATAACTATTTTGACTTTTAAAAAGTGCCATTAAATTAGCAGCTACAAGAATAGAAACATCATTCGATAGGGATAATAATTTAAATATTAACCAAAAAATCACCCGCAATCTTTATTACTATAGATAATATATTCACATAAATAAGCTTAAAAATTATCATGGTTTATTATTGAATTTAACTATTTAAAAGAGTTTTTTAAACTTTGACTGCCCTAAAAATATAATGTTAGTAAAATATAATATAGATGAGAATATATTTTTAGGATTGTATTGTATAAAAGTGTGGAGTCTTAAAAGACAGTCTTACGTTTATTTCAATAATGCAATATTATAATAACTATTTGCCTTTTAATCGAAGTTTCTGTTTCTAATAAAGTACCTATACAAATTTCAAAGAGATCTTTCTTATTCAAAAGTTTGTTTTAATCTATTAAGTAAGCGTAAGTGTCTAGACCTGATAAACTGACTTATAATACCTTTATCACAATTCCTTTCGACCCTTTGTTTTTGGGCCAAGCTTAGATAAAGTTGTTGT